CAAATCATATATTAACCTTATGAATTTTTTTTGTGATATGAAAATTCTGCATGTGTCTGTAGCTCTTCCCCACACAATGATGTCACTACTAATGATACTGTATATTAAAGAATAATATAGGTTTACTAGTTGGTGCCTATGAAAACTCGATATCAGAGTAATAAATGCAAAGTACAGCTTGTTGAGTTTTTTACACGGAGCATCAACTTGTCTATTGAAAGAAAGTTTTTGGTCTAGTTCGAGGCCTAGGAATCTCGTTGATTCTAAGTTGTGAACTTATGTGTTACCAACATTTATTGATAATTTATTACTGCGCTTTAAGGTACTAGTGAATTCAATGGAGACCATTTTCTTTGCATTATTGATGAGGTGATTTTTTTCACACCAGTATGTAAATTTTTTTATTACAGTATATATTTTGGCCTGTACCTGATTGATAGTTTCAGATGTAACAACAATTGTTGTGTCATCTGCGTATACGAAAGTATGTCCTTGACTGATGTGGTTAGGAAGGTCATTGACATACAGCAGAAATAGCAGTGGCCCATGAACCCCACCTTGGGGTGTGCCAATCTTTATATCAAAATTTTTGGAGAATTGCTTCTCAACCTGCACCTTAATAGATCTACCGGACATATATGACTCGATTCATTTTTGAATTGGACCTCGGATGCCTAGAGCTTCCAGTTTTATTTGTAGATACCTAGGGTTGATTGTGTCAAATGCACGAGACAGATCAAAGAATAGTCCAACCACAAGCTTACTTTCGTTGATGCTATCATGTATATATTGTACAAGATCTGCTGAGGCTGTTTCGACAGAATAGCCAAGTCGGAATCCAACCTGGCATGGAGTTAATAAATTATGTTTAGTTAGATATGATATTATTTGATTATAGACTGCCATTTCTATAATTTTGAAAAAACAGCTCAGCAGACATATCATTCTGTAGTTTTCCACGCACTGGCTATCCCCAGTCTTGAAGACCGGAACTGCTTTTGATATTTTCAATTTATTTGGAAACACTCCACTAATGACAGAGTGATTTATAATAATGGCTAATGTACTTGAGATATTGTCAATGGACTCTTTCAGTGGAATTGCTGGTATTTCATCTATGCCAGTGGAAAATTTCTTTTTCAAGCCCAACACAATATATTTGATGTCATGTTCAGTCATAGGAGCAAAGAACATAGAAATCGGAATTGTGACGGGTGATTTTGTGCATAGATCAACGGGGAGGTTAAGAGAGTCTAGCTTCTCTCTGACAGAATTTGCAAAGTATTTCCCAAAAATATTTGCTACCTGTGTTTTATCTGCTAATATTTCATTATCTACATTTAATGTCATTTCCTGTTTTTTATTTTTTACATGGTTAGTCTTGATATTTACCTAATTCCACAGAGCCTTTGCCTTGTTATCAAAGAAGGTAACTGTACTGGAATAATAGTTCTTTTTTATACAAGAAATTTTGTTATCAATTTGCTTCTTAGTTATTTTATAATGATTATTAATAGTTTGTTCATTTGAATGTTTCCGTAGCCAGTTCAGTTGTTTGAGATTTTCTAATTCTTCATGAAGTTCTCTTGGGAATGGTACTTTCTCGGTTTTGGTATGTTTCTTTGGTTTAATTTTTTTGTTTAGGAATTGTTACATCCAAACACCAATGAAAATGCATGAAAAAATTATTGCTTCTCTTCTGCTCTCTTCTGCTTTTTAGGGTGAGTGATGCGATTCAGAACTGCTCTAGAAACAAAATCCCACATGTGTTCAATATGATTCTGATCCGGCGAGTTAGGTGGCCACTCTAGTTAGGCAATTTACCCTTGTTCCAGTACTTCTTGAACCATTCTTGGTCGATATGGCTGGGCGTTGTCGTCCATGAAGATGAAATTCTCATCTAATTTATTTCGTAATGGATTGACAATGGACCTGATAACATTTCCAATATAAACTCGACTTGTCATGTTATCACATTTAAAAATTAATGGAGTAAATGGGATTGAACATGATGCTATCCCAAAACATTACTGTTCCTCCTTGATAGAGAGCAGCCTCTCAAGGAAAATTTAGTATTTGTTGGCGACCTGGCTCTCTCCATACCCTTTGGTCATCACTCTGCAGTACTAAAGTATTTTTTCAGTTTTTTAATTTTGAACAGTTGGAAGATTTGTGATCGCATCTTAGTAGTTGTTTGTTTTATCTTATCTGATATAAACATTTACAAGTTTGTTTTTTGTCAGAAAAGATCTAACAGAACTAGCCACTGTTCAGATTCAAATGTACCGAACAACAATCAATAATATCAGTGTTTTTTTAGTCATCGATGTAGGAATTCCTATTGTTTTTATATACATATACAGTGCGATTATTAGGAAGTTTTTTGAACACAATATGCCAAAACACCCAGAAAACATTATTGCCTTCAAATATATTTTGCTGATTTCAGACAAAATTATATTCAACAAGTAGACAGTTAATGAATTATAAACTAAATACAAGTTTTTGGAGAAAATACCTTTAACATATTCACAGACTAGATAAAGCATATTTTTTGTGTCTGTTTCTTCTATTAGAGACATTATATAAGGATGATGCACTTTCCTTAATATTTTCACTTCATTTTCGATCATGTCTTCCTAAAACAGAAGGTCACTTTCACATTATGAAAAAAAAGTCTTGAAAATTCCTACCTTTCCTTTGCACTTGGATTTATCTATAATTTTCAAGGCGTACTCTTTATTTGTGGTAACGTCTTTACATAATCTGACCACTGCAAAATTACCTAGAAACAAGACATCAAAAATATAGTATAAAAATAGAACACTGAGGAAAATAACTAACCATCTCCTATCATCCTGCCAACTGAGTATTTTTTCAAAGGTAGAGGTAATACTAAATTATTATCTTCACTTAATTTTTTTAATAAGCTCTCTTCGGATTCATAAGTTCTATTCAATTCCTTTTTAGGCATTTTTGGTTTCGGACCGGCACTAAAATCAAATTGCCAACATTAATCTCAAAATTATGGAAAAATCTATCTATTGGAAAGATATGTGGTTATCAACAAAATAATAAAAATGGTCCAAGGTATTAACTATTCAAATATTTGAAATAAGGGAATATATTCTACAAAGTCAGCATCCATAGAACCTACAACTACATTCAGTGAAACACTGTACACTTTTTTGAAATATATGGGTTCATTATTCCATTTTGGGTGATTGAAAAGTTATATCCACTTTTGTCCACAAATTATCACGAATTAAATAATATACATATAGTAATTAGGAACAGTTACAAATAACTATGCAGATGGTGTATGTATTGGAAACGAGGCCAGGTTTCATGTTTATTGTAGATGTGGTAGCACTTAATGCAAACTTTTTTCTAAACAGAACAATTTATACACTAAATCGTTTTCAAGGCCTGCCAACATAGCATTTCATTAAATCTTGGTGTTTAATATTATACTTCAGAAGATTCAAAAGGAATGACTATCAGAGCCTATAAAGTATGAGCTATTATAGTCACAGATTATCTTTGGTCTCTTACAGGTGTTTCTGGTTAGAACTTGGAAGGTTCTGAAGTTCAATTAAACTTTTATATAATCTTTTTTAGATTTTTGGGAAGAACATTTCCACAATAAATCAAATGTCTATTAATTTCTACTTATTTTCATGTTCAAAATGTCAATCTTCCAGANTATTCGTAACTTATCAAGAAGCGTTATCTCTTAAATTCATACACTATATTTGTAAAAAACGGATTTTTTTATTTGGAATATTAAATATGTAGGATGGTCTATGAAATAAAGGATTTGAATAAAATGAATGCTCATGAAATACAGAGATATACTTCTGGAAGTGTTTGTATATGAATACATTTTTTAACTGTCTCAACAGATATTTTAAACTGATTTGATCATAGGCTAATTTTTCACTTCAAAAGTATTGTCAAACAATTTTTATCGGGGTTTTATTGGGAAGGGCATATATTCCAAAAACAGATCAGGACTTCCTCACATTCCTATTCCAGCTAGATATTTCATAAATTAACTATACAAAACAACTTTCTCATTTTTGTCAAAAATAATCAGTCAGTTTTAAATTTGTAAATAAACACTTATTGGAATTTCAAAAAAAGATCTTTCATATTCTTTTCAAGTTACATTACATGTGATATCTATACGAAAAGAAAACTATATCTTAAAAAGTCATATTAAGATATATTTGATTTTATGGCGAGTGAGCAACTGGTAGATGATTAGAATCCAATTTACAGGAACTCATTTATTTATCGAGTTTCAGGCTCACTCATTTAAAAATTTCTATTGTAAAATCAACTAAACTATTCTGTATTAGCTAAATTTTGCAATATTTTTTATAAAACTTCAATGACTCTTGAAACATTGAACTGATCAAAATGAAGATTATATAATGACATTTTAATTCAAGAACATAAATGAGCAAACAATTACAGGAAGTTGAAGATTCCATAGTCAATTAAAATCATCTGTTCATTGGCTTTCTAGAAAATTGACTACTTGACTACTTCAAACTTGAAAAGCTTTCAAGACTTTTTTTGTTGCAACCAATACTACATAGTTGGAAATATTTAGCTGGACACAATCGAGGGACAAATATTGCATATATATTTTGATAAATGCAGTCTTTGTACTTTGGGTGATAACATTGCATGTTTATATAATTAGTATCAAAATAATAATCACAAATTCCAATAAAATGGAAATTAAAACACAAAAGAACAATAAAATTTCAATTCAACAGTTGGGTAACCTGCTCATGTTCAAATAATCCATGCAGGTTTTAATACCATTCATACAATTCTTTTTTCAAATCATAAATACGAACTTTCTCCACCATCCAAAAAACAAATACCTATATTAAAACTCATCTATCTGCCTACAACTTCTATTTCGTTACATGTGCAGAACTGTGATTGAGTAAAAATAAATATTCTACACAATTCCTTGTGATGTATGGTGAGATACTAATCGGCAATTTGCAGCCAAGGGTGATCCAAGACATCTTCGGCAGAAAATCGTAGTTCAGGATCGAGCTGAAGCATGTTCTGAATTAATTCTTTGGCAAGTGGAGAAACATCCTGCCAATATTCATCTGGAAAATCATATTGACCAGACAGAATACAGTCAAAAAGTTTCTCCTGGTCATTGTCTTGGCTAACAAAAGGAGGGTAGCCACATAAGAGAATATAAAGAATTACTCCAGCAGCCCAAACATCAATCTGAAAAATTTCAATTTGGTTATTCATGTGGAAAGTGTGAAAAACAATATTTGTAGGACAAAAAACACATTTTCGATAGAGTATCAAGAACTGATAATATAACGCAATATTTTCTTTGGAGGGGTCTAGTTTGGGTCAATTACTCAAGTTATATGAAGGGGTTAAATGATTTTTACAGTCAAACCTAAGTCTAAAACAAATAACTATTCCATTCTCATCGAGTGACTGTTCAAATCATTAAAAATATTGATTGTTCACATAAAAAAAATATCAAGTTGAACTAAAAGCTTTGGTGTAGAATTAATGAAAATGTCTACTTCATCTTCTGAAGACGCAAACTTGATTGGTGAAACGGACGTCGAGAAGAGTGTTGCAGTTCTGGTATTTGGGAGAAGTGTCTGTTTTGGAAATATGGAGCTTGTTAACTTTCTTCATATCCAATCTGAAGTAATCACCATTTTTATATTTTTGTCCAATAAAATGTATAGTATTTTTCCTACTAAAATGTTCATCACATTTTATGAAGAACAAAAACAAATTGTTTTTTTCAAGTCTTCATATAAAATTTTGCTTAAAAATGTAATAAAATGTAACAAAATGTGGGAAGTGTTAACACATCAAAAACCAATGAAAACGTAAAAAAACGTGAAAAAAGCGAAAGAAATGTTTATGAAGAATCTCCGAATCACAATCAGATAATTCTTTGATGATTTGCATAAAGCAATTCAATAAAAATGACCAATTTGTGGAAAAATAATTCATGGATTTTGCAACACAATAATGCTCACATTTCATTTCTTGTTCTTGAATTTTTGTGACAAAACCGACTCATATTTCCAAAAGTATTGAGCAACTTAAAGGGCTGTCATTTTACAAGCATAGATGACATTAAAAGTGCATCGCTAGAAGAGCAAAAGGCTATTCCAAAGATCGAGTTTCAGAAGTGTTTTGAGAATGGGAAGAAGTGCTGGCAATGAGGACGATTTTGGAATAATTATGTTTTTTAAACCTACTAAAACATTTAAACAATAAAAGGTTATTATATTGTGCATACAAAAGTGCATGCATCTCGCATGATGAGGAAAATATGTTTTAGATACTATTTTTTCCAGTAGATACAATTTCTTGGTTGCATTTCCTGCATTCTTGGTCACCAGATACCCTGTCACTACAAAAATTGTAAAATCATAATAACGAAATGTTCTTGTGCACCAGCTCTTAAACTGTTCGGTTAGTACTATATATGTGTTAGAAATCACCAAGTGTACACTAACCTTGAGTCCATATCCCGATTCTGCCAAGATTTCAGGTGCAACATAAGTAGGGGTTCCACATACCGTATACAAAGGCTTTGTCACCTCACACGCCAATCCGAAATCTCCTAATTTCAGTAATTTCACTTGGTTATCCTCAAGTTCCACCTATAAGGAGTAATGTCTTTAAAAAAAAACCTACAAACAGTTAAACTATAACTCACTAATAAATTTTCAGGTTTAATATCACGGTGTACAATGTTCAGGTTATGTAAATATGCCAACGCAGATATGAGGTGGTTTATCATCAAGGAGGCTTGATCTTCAGAGAATTTCTGAGCTACAGTTATCGTATCAAATAAATCACCACCTAGAAAAAAGAGGTTTGTACAATTCAACATAAAGAATATTGGAATATTCAAGTATATTCTTTGATTAAAACTTTTTTATTGTAATCAAACTATGATTATTTCTGACCTACTTTGTTTCTCAGTAACATATTGACACGGTGTGCATTGAAGCAACTGATCGATTGATCTTTTCTTGAGCAATATAGTTCCATTCCTCTACTGCCACATTAGATAGATAGATATTTATTTAATCTCTTATGGTTGCTTTACAACATGAGATAAGTCACAGTACATAAAGAGGGAAAAATTCTCATTATATAAACATTAAGAAAAAATATCACTCGGGAGCCGAATACCTAGTTTTTTTTATAACGGTTCACTTTTGGTTTTTGAACTGACCTAAAACGCTGATTTCATTATCGCCACCACATTCAGTAACCGTACATTGAGGGTTTTTCAAAGGATCCATAATTTTGTAAACTATTTTTGATACGTTGAAAATATCTATGATCAGGTTGTCGTCATTCAGGATACAATTCCTGATACATTGCCAGAGATTTGGTAGCATTTCTCAAACATCTCGAATAAACAAAAAAATATCCACTTTTTCCTCATTGGAAAAATTCATGTTTTTCCCTTAAAATCGCTCATCAAATTGAACAACTATTTTATTTTGTGTTTGACAATTTATCCAACCTTCACATTCATGTATTTCATGGCTAATTTCAAAAATGAAATCACTCATCATGTTTCTCCTGAATATCATCAAGACTTTTTTGATACAGTATTTTCTTTAGTTAATTCTTGTTGTTACCTATACCCATTTTCTAAAAAGAAATATTTGGGTATCTACAAATTTTCAAGAGACACTTGGACATTATGAATGGCTTGGTATTGATACAAATATTATTGGTCTCTCTTTTTCAAGACAACCCTGACAGAAATCTATTTGGATTTCAGTAAATGAAAATATTTAGGATATCTTTGATGAAATTAATAAAAACACTCACTTTCTAATTTCCACTAGTTATTTTATTTTTACGACAGGTTTCGGGTTTTACCCCATTATCAGGTATATAACTATACTAGACAAAAGTGTTTTTATTCATTTCATCAAAGTGATCATTAATTTCCACAAAATAAACAAGTCATCATTCACACATATTTAGAATCTCAATGAACATCACCGACTGGAGAACTCTGTTTGGATTTCAGTAACAATCCAAAAATTCTTTTAAAAATGAATTTCAATGAATGAAATGTCGCATTTGAAAATCATTCGAACCAGATTTAAAAAACATGAAATGAAGCATGAAGTTACTCCGTCATTTTTCGATATTATTGTGAATGGAGGCGGTAGAGCAAAAAAATTAAATCCGCCATTTTTATTTTTTTGCAAATATCACAGAAACGGTTGGTGATTTATCAATCTGAGAGTACCATTATCTTGCATCCCTAAGAAGGCAACTTTTGTTCCATTCAACCGTTCTTGTACACAACAGTTNCAAACTCCTTATTTATTTTTCAAATACCACTTTTGTTCCTTCATATTTGAAATAAATTATTTAATCCGTTTTGTGGTGACGTAATCAGTGATTATGACAAAGTAAATAACGAACAAGCTAAGCGAGAACTAGTGTCGTCCAGTGCTTAATTGAATAAGTAAAATAAGGTTGGAGTTGATTGTTTGATACAGTCTTCAAAAAAAATTACTTCGGTATTTCAAATTTTGAATGATTTTAAGTTACAGATTTAGAGGAAAAATCATCAAAAAGTTATTAGTTGTATTCACAATAATTTTTAGAACACAAAAATAACATTTGTTGTTTTACATGTGAATAGTTTATTGTTTGTCCCTACTACTAGTGCTGCCTCTCGTGACACGTTTGCTGTACTATTCTCAGGAAAAAGGCTCATTGAAGAAGGCTCCGCCAACTCAGATTTACTCAGCCTATTCAGGGATTGATCTTTATGATCAAATGAAGATCATAATTTTATTAGCGGTGGAATTCTAATAGTCCTTCAATTAATGATCGAATTTGACTTGGTGATGTTCAGAAGGGACACAGTAGAAGTCTAAATTATCCAACAAGGAAAATAGTGGAAGCACTTCCAAAAAAACCATACAATCTTTACAGAGAGCATTAGTTTATATTGTTGAGAATTATTTTTAGCCGAAGACTTACTGGTAGTGAAAGGTTCATTTTAAACTAATGGAAAAGACAGTTTTTCACAGATTCATAAGAAATGTCTGTCATCTCTGAAGATTTTCACAAAGAAATTTGAGGATTAATTGCGATGTTGCCATTTATCAATTTATCAAATTATGAACCTCATTTCTTCGAATCCTATCAAGAACTTTCGTTTTCAACGCTGACAATTTTGTCACTGTGATTGTCAAAAACAATCTAGTGCAATTTGGGTAAATTAGAATTGAAACTTCAATAGCGATAGTCTTGCAAAACTAAGAAAATCGTACTCATGCTTTTAAAAGTTTGTTACTTAATAGAATTCATTACATTATGCCGTATGTATTATACAGTGCATTTCTTTAATGTAACCCCCTCCCCTTTTTTTTGAACGGGTCAACTCAAAAAATTGAAATTTGGGATAATGAAATTAATGCATGAAAACTTTATTTTGAAGTGAAATTGACAGATGAAACTTTCAAGATGGCCATTGGGCGCCATCTGGGAAAAAAATTGGAGGGGCATTGAAGAAATGCACTATATATTCATGATATCATGTTTTTGTTTCTATTTTGGTTTCTGTTTTGGTTTCTTCTGAGTTTTTGTTTCAGAAAAAATATGTACGAAACGGTTATAAAGGTTTCATGAATCATTGGTTGACTAGAAATGTTCAGTAACACCTCCTTTCCCTACTGTTAAAGAGTTTTCACCGTAGGTTGCCCTCTTTTACTTGGTCTCGATGGAGTTGATGTACTATTTTGGTTCTCCCAACTATATTTTGAAACGAGTTTGGGAAATTCTCCAAGATAACTTTGAAAACAATAATATTTTCAAAAACTTTCTCATATAGACTAGTTATTATAAAAATGTTACTCGGAAGTAAAAAGTGTGTTAGGATACACTTATTCACATCTGCTTATGAATTCACTATGCGGCAATCAAATATAATTCCTTTTAAAGACAATAAATTTTAATTAGGATTCAAATAAATTCGTAGAGCCCCATCTCGCGAAATTATGAATTCAACATTTTTGGCATCGTTATAGTCTTTCACGAGCATATTGATCGCCTGTTGCATCCACAAAATTGCGCTTGCGCAACGTCCTGATAGACCTCATGTCCTACTACCGCAACTTCAAGTAGGCCATGAACCAGGGTTGTCACATTAATGGAAATTTCCGAAATAGTGTGTGAGCAACTTTAGCTTCGTCTGAAGTGCTTGAATAATATCCTTCTATTCGCATCCAGCATGATCTAAAAATAATAATATATTTGCCTTCCATAATAAATATGATTTTTTTATTCCTTCCGTCCTGAATGGAAAAAATGGGCCGAAACTCTATCAGCATGATCCGTACCAGTCAAAATTGGGAACATGATAGAGCATAGTAAATCAAGGGGTATAACTATTTTGCAGGTCTGCAGGTCAGCAAATTGATATCAGTAGACATTGCTCCTGTAATCTTGTAGGAGGACAGAAATTTTCGCAGGTCTGGTCTGCCAGACATGAATCTTGACCAGGATGATCATTTTCGACAAAAAAAATTCCAACCCCCACCCTTTGAGTATTGAAAAATTCCACATTCCTCATTAAATTGAAAATAAAACTTGCAGGTCGGTGGCAATTCTTGCAAGTCGGGTCTGCCAGACATAAATCTTGACCAGGTCAATCATTTTCGACTGAAAAAATTTCGAACACCCATCCAAAAATTTGACAATTCTTAAAAAATCTTTTTGTATGGAAAAATTCCACATTCCTCTTCAAATTGAAAATAAACTTTGCAGGTCAACAGAAATTCTTGCAGGTCGAGTCTCCCAGACATAAATCTCGCAGAAAAAAATCCAATTCTCATCCTTTGAGGATGAAAAAATTGCAGGTCGGACTTCTTTCCATTTATGATACAAAAACATAGCTTGCGGGTTGATTGTAATATTCCATTCATATCAGATTTAGAGTATTTCATTTGGCCATTTTTTATGTAAGGAAGAGACATTGGGTAGGGAAACAGAAATACTACTAACGTTCATAAGTATGAAAATAATTAATTCTTGGTCGCAACATCGCACAAAAAAACAAATAATAAAATATGTGAACTATATAACACAAATATATTATTGGTAACAAATAAACCATAAGAAATTATATTGTAATATCTCTACGAAAAAATCAGAAAAGTTTTCAGTTAAATATGACTAGGCAAATGTCACTGAAGATAAACGACGGCTTTCTGTAACTTTTGTAAGTTTTTTGTGCACAATAAAATTGAGTATTTGTTTTTGATCGTACTGAATTTGGACTCTAGCAAAAGTATTGGACTCTAGCAAAAGTATTGCTCAAATTTTTCTTCAAATATTAGTCAATATTATGTCTGGCAGACCAGACCTGAAAGAATTTCTGCCCACCTGCAAGGTTTATTTTCAATTGAATGAGGAATGTGGAATTTTTTCATACTCACAGCGTGGGGGTTGTAATTTTTTTCGTTGAAAATGATCAACCAGGTCAAGATTTATGTCTGGCAGACCCTACCTGCAAGAATTTCTGCCGACCTGCAAGGTTTATTTTCAATTTAATGAGGAATGTGGAATTTTTCCATGCTCAAAGCGTGGGGTTGTAATTTTTTGCCAAAAACGATCAACCTGGTCGAGATTTATGTCTTTCGAAAATGATTTATGTTTGGCAGACCCGACCTGCAAGAATTTCTGTCCTCCTACAAGATTACGGGAGCAATGTCTACTGAAAACAATTTTCTGACCTGCAAACCTGCAAAATAGTTATAGCCCAAATCAAGCATAGCATCTAGATGCTAACGAAAAAACTGGATCATAGAATCTGCATCAAATTTGTGTTCTCAAAAACATTTC